GGCTGGCCGGCAGCCCAGTTTGATTTTATTTTATTTTTTTTAACTGGTTATTTTCACCATGAGGCAAAGCGTAACCCAGCAGCCCCGTCCCTGGCTGTGCTGGCTCCAGCCAGCTGTAATAAGTCACCTCCCAGGAAAGCGAGCAGAAATGACTCAAACGCGTACAGTACTGCCTAAAAAGCGTAAGATAAAACCTGAGGTAGGGTCTCGAGCAGTTATGACGTTCTCAAATAATTGGAAGAATATATGGGTTTTTTAAAGACACCAGGTATTACTCCAACTGCTCTAAGCTAGCACTGGGTGCATTGATTTCATATTAGAAGACTGCTCTGAAGAGAAGCTCACCGTATCGCTGTATTTTAATTCTGTGAGCAAGAAATTGCTTTTTCATCCCCTAAGTGAGTCCAGGATTTAAAATGAGTTTTAAATCGCCAACAGTAAATGAAAGTCATACTAAACTTCTATTTCAGTAGCTTTGTATTAAGGTGAGGAATTTATACAGTTAACAGAATTTTTGTTTTATAATGCATAATCCTAGGCCCAGTCTCATGGCCTGTATTCATACACTACAAGTAAATAATTTGGGTGATATTAGTCACCCGAGCACGACTTGAAAGAACAGCTTTGTAGATTGAGCTGTTACTCAAGCAGATGGTCAATGATTGAGGCAAAGCTATTTTGCTCAATAGTAAACTCTGTCTAGTGGATTAACACTTAGATTTTGTGTGTTTCATCCCTCTGGTTATACATAATTCCACCATGCTAAAAAATACCATACCATATGTTTGGTACATTTAACTGTTTATACATAGCTCTGAACAGTTTTATCCAGCACTAACATACCAGCAAATCTCCATTTATAAACCAAAATTTTAAAATAGCCCAACTATCAAAATGAATGAGGTTGTTGTCTGATAGTGTATGAATTAAACCCCAGCCATATCCAGATAGAAATACACTGGATTTCTAGAATTGAAAGTGCTTCAGTAATCCATTTCATAAGGGATTGCAAAGCCAAAGCTCTTCAGAGTACAACTGGAAGAATGCAGTTTTATTTCAAAAGAGCTTTCTGTGTGCTGTATTTTCCATCCATGACTTTCAAGTGAGATCTCTTCATTTCCTGGTTATACATTTTTTTTTTTTTCTAACTGTTGATCTGGAATGATTTATCCAGGATCTGAGCATTATATTGTTCCCGTAATCCTCTTCACACAAACTACAATAAGAGGATTTTGTAGGCTGAATTTGTTTCGGCCTTCTTAAAATACTTCATTCCTTTCCGTAATGTTTGTGAAATACTGTACTGAAAAACTGGATTATCCCTGGAAAACACGTCTTAAAAACATTTGACTTTTGGGAAAAGGACTGTGGTTACATTTGGAGGGACATATGTGCAGTCCATCTACAGCAACATTAGCCAAGCAGATACACCTAGTAAGCTAACCAAATGAAAACAATTTGCTGAATGTTTGTTTAGAATAATTATATTTTGCTGATACCTAAGAAACAAGTGTGATAGTGATACTCCTTTTAATTTAGTGACTGTGCTGTTGAAACTCTTGATCCCTTTTTGGCAAAGACACTAGCTCTTGTACAGCTGGTTTGTTTTATTTAGCAAGCTTGCACATAAAGTAGGTGGGAAACAATGGCTAGAAATAGATCGCTCAGATGAAAATGAAGGGTGTGATTTGGTCTGGCAGTTAAGGCATGAGGATTAAGTCAAGTGTTCCTGATTTTTCTTGTTGTGCTGTCAAAGTAAAACTCAGTTAGACATTAACGTCCTCTTAATGAGAATTTATTACAAGCTGGGGTTTTGGGGGTTTTTTGGCAAATGTGCTTTTCATAGTGGAATTATATTTTTTAAAATTTGTTCTGAGATACCAATTTCGTAACTAATGCAGTAATTAAAAGCCCTGATCATTAATATGATTGCACCTCTTCTTATCCAGAGATGCTAGAATTGAATGGAGGCTTATTTTAAAAACAAAAAAACCAAAACCACCTATATCTGTCTGATCTTATTTCACTTTGTCTAAATCCTCTGTCAAAATAGGGCAGGTTCTGATATTTTTTTCTGGTTTGTATGACTCATCAGCACAACAGAATAATGAGGGGAAAATACTTCTAAGGTAAAATGTTCTTAGTTCAAATAAATACACTAAGCAGAAGTGCCTTGTTTGGGAGACAAAGCATTCTATACAATGCAGCAAAAATACTTAAAACTAGGGTTAGTTTAAAGCCATTACAGTGTCTCACCTTAGTCATGCTTTCTATCCACAGTGGCTTCAGACTAGCATGGAGCCTGCTGAAGTAAGATCAGCATGTCTTTTTTTCCTCATAAGTGAGATTTGGGTCTCCTCTACCCTTGAGGAGATATTGTGGAGGCGAGATGGCTGTTAAATAGCCAGAAATATCAGTAAGGCTAAGTGAGTTGGTGTCACTAAATTAGTCTTTGTCACAGAGGGAGTCCTTGTGTTTGGAATTGGCGGGAGCCACACAGAGCCTTGGGTCTTGGAGTTGATACGCTTTTGAGATGCATGGTACAGTTTTAACACTTGCCTGCAAAATCAAATGTCACTCAAAGTCTGGGGTATGGAGAAGGCCGGTTTTGGTCTTCAAACACAAGGTCTAGACCCTTATTTCCAATTTTAAAAGGGAATTCAGAATCTGGTACCATCAGATGAGTGGGGCACTGAGCATAGACACATTGTACTGGTGCATTATTCCATCCTTGCTGTAAACACCAGCATGCATTTTAGCATTGCCTATATTCACAGCCATGTTAAACCACGACATGCAGTGACTCTCTGCAGGGCAGGATGACACTTCTAAAGACTCTAAGAAATGTAATCACAATTGTTTTCTTCTAGATGATTTTAAGCCAGCATCGATTGATACATCTTGTGAGGGGGACCTCCAAGTGGGTAAAGGAGATGACGTAACAATCACTTTGCCACATATTCCAGTAAGTTTGTTATACGTATGTCCTTGTTTACCCTCCAACAAATTTGCAATGTAGTTACTGTCTAATGTGAATGTTATTTTCACTTTCATCTTTGTTAATACAAGTGGCTTCAATATTTGAGCAGCCAGATTTGTAGCGTGTTATCTTAGGAAAGGTCTGTACAACTGAATCTTTGTAAAGAGTTACATGTGTAAGGTTGCAGTCTGTTCTTTACTTTTGATTCTTTCTTTCCTACTCTTCCTTGAATAACAAGACAACTTCTACTGTTAGCTGAAGCTCTACTCCCGGTTTCCATCCATTTTTAGTTCTATGGCTTAATGAAGAAAGGCAGAGTAATTTGAGCTTTAGTCAAGGTTTGATGTTCAGAAGCCACATGTATGCCTGTAACCATATTCTTCCCATTACTAAAACATGTACAGATAGCACAGAGGGTTCCCTTCCTGTACCTTTATCAGTTGCAGCGAGGGGGGGCGGTTCCAGCGAGTGGCAATGAAGTGGTTTCCCATCCTCTTCCTCCTCAAATTATGCCATAAAGTTCTACTGTGTGAGGATGGCAGTCAAACAGCAATAAAACAAGTGATCAAAATGTTTATAGGTGCAGCTGTTATGTAATTGAAGGTTCAGTGGTTTCCTTACCAAAACAAAAGAAAGTGCTTACATGTTGGAACTGGATTTGTTTATTAGCTGAAGCTAATGCTATGTGTCAACCAGAATTCACAGACATCGATGAGTTTGGTGGTTGCAAGGGGGTACCAGACATTTTGGAAGGCGTGCGTCAGATCCTTTTGGTGTTGTTTATTCTAGCATGTTAGTGTTTTTAATTGGTGGGTGATGGTACTGTGATAATTCCCACGGAATGAGGCTTTAGCCTGCTTCCCCCACTCCTGTTTTTCATATGGCTTTGGTCACCTTTAGTGCTGCAGGAGGTCACATACTGGTTTTTGTCTATAAAAACAATAAGCGTGGTCGTGCTATTTGAGAGCAGGTAACAATATGATGAATAGCAGTGGCATTGGATTGACTGGGAACAGTGGTGTTCATTTGTCTTTTAGGCTGAACAGCATCACTTGCCCCTTTCTGAATCTCTGTACTGATGAGTTTAATTTGATTGTCTTCCTATGAGTATGAACAGCTTTAAGCTTGTAATACGCTTCAGAGGCTTAGGCAGCTAACTGTACAGAATGCAGCCACTGTGCGTATGTTGTTCCAAGTCAGTGCTTGCCTGTGTTCCAAACAGAGCTGGAAAACACTGAGCATACTGGAAAAGAGTGAGAAGTTTTGAGATCATTTAATCCTGACAAGATTAGCTGAATTTCTTGGGTCCTGCTTTGGTTCTCAGTTGCCCAACAACAGGATAGACTTCAGATTCTAATGTTTTTTAAAATTGCCTGGTCCCTAAGGATATCTCTGATAATTTGTTCAGTGGAGATATTTTGGTGTCCCTTGCTGCTTGGATAAATTGAAGTACTATTTCTACATGTGGATTTAGTGGCTTTAATATTTGATAAACAGTCTTGGTTAGGGAAGTGAAGAATTTCTGTTTGTTAAAAAACCCTCACGCATGAAAACAAATTCATTAAATGTCATCTGTTTCACCTACCACCTTCTTCTATCCTGTAATCAGCAGAATCTATAAGCCAGTGTTATTTAGGCACTACCATAAAACCTAAACATTTAATTTTAAGTAGAAGACTGGGACTGTTAATTTGCTTAAGCAGGGTCTCATTTCAGCTTATTTTTTTAGCCAAAATCACAGTCTTTGCTGAGTTAGGAGGCTTCTGGGTGGCAGAGTGATATCCAACAAACTTTGATCAATTTTCATTTAATTTGTGCATTATACGTTTCCTGACTTAGTTGTCAACAGTGAGCAGGATTTGACTTTCAGCTTGCTTTTTGTTCTCTTAAACATTGCTTTCCTCTCTTAAACATAGGAATGATAAAAATGTAACATGCCTTTGAAGACTAGACTTTCTTGAGACATCTTTTCTGAATCTACAGTATCTTTGTTGGGAATTCAGATTTTTCACCCTTACGAATGTTCCGAAGCCATTTTAAATTCAAACCTATTCTATTTATTAGCAATACAGAGAATAGGAATTGCATTGCGAGTGGTTAAAATCTGATTGTTCATTTTTTCTACTCAAAATAGAATGTAGAATAGTGCATTTTTGCCTTTTCTCCCTGATTTTGGTTGCTTTCCTACAGCATGTGCAAAGGTGCACACAAATAAACTTTTTTTTTTTAAATTTCTTTTGTACAGTAGCTATACATTACAGAGAAGTCTGAGAAGGTTTCATAGCTGAGAACGTATTTCTTTATATCCCCTCTGAGTAACGTGTCCTTTTTTGACATGGCCAGGTGTGTGTCCATGTCACTGTGTGCAAGTGGACCATAGATTCTGCCTCCTGTAACCCCAAAACCAGGTGTTTGAGCCAGCCTGTGTATGGGTGTAGTACAGCTGAGCAGAATCTCAGCACTGTCAGTTAGCCAGCGTGCACCACCACATGAGTGTGTCTTTATTGCTTCTCAGCCTAAGCCATTAGACTTTTACAGCTCTATGCAGCATTGTGTGGACTTGGGGACTTTCTGGAAGGTGTCAAAGTATGCCATTTGCTTTTGAGAAGACATTTTGTTATAATTGCGTGGCATCTACATGCTAATCTGACTTTGAAGAAGGCAGCTGTTCTTGCGTAGTTTGCGACAGTTGCCTGTAATCCACTGTGAAAATACTGCCTTTTTAATATATATATTAAATACAAAGCAGTTTAAATTATTTTTCAATTGACCACATGTTTCTTTAGGCAACAGTTCTGCTACATGAATAATTAGAAGTTTATTTCTTATCCAAACCCAAGATTTCCAGAGCAGAAATGTCAAGATGATTTCTGACACTTGTCAGGGCCAGCTATGCAAATTCAGTTATGTTACCATTTTGGAAATGAGAACTGTAAATAATGGCAACCATGGAGAAGATGTTTTGTCACTGCAGAGACACTTAAAATGATGAAAGGCATAATATTGCTATGAGGAAACGTCTGATCTACTGCATGTAACTGTATTTTTCCCTTTTCATGAATGAACATTTTCTGTAGGAACTAAACATTAACTGCTTAGCCTCTTGGTCTGAACAATACATACATTCATTTCTCTTAGTGTTTATAAACATTTGGGTATGGGAATATAACCAAACAAATGTGTGCTCTGTCTTTGATACCAGGGTTCAACTCCACCAATGACTGTGTTTAAAGGAAATAAAAGGCCCTATCAGAAGGACTGTGTGCTTATTATCAATCATGACACTGGGGAATATGTGCTGGAAAAACTTAGTAGCAGCATTCAAGTCAAGAAAACAAGGTAAAGCTGGGGATTGTTGATAGCATTAATTCTTGCTGAACTTTCTTCTTCAGACTGTCTTTTGAACCAGCACTCAATTTTCTTTTATTTTGTAGTGATGTTTAATTACTAAGCCTTATGGGCTTTACATGGCCAATTATCTTGCCTAAAAATGCAAATAGGAGTGTGAATCCAAGAGTAAAGAATTTGTAAATTCTCCACTGCTGAAAGGACATGATTATAGTTTGCAGTGAAACACCTCTGATGATTTGAAGCTTTGGAAGCTGGCTGAAGGATGGGATGTGTTTCAGGAATCTCTAGTTAGCTGAAAAGGAACATGGAAACATTTAGGCTGTCAAGAGGATTGTTGGACTTTCTAGGTTTGTTCTCTACATCTTCCTGTGGGAGTCATGATGCTTTAATAATATACTCTTAGGGAACAAGAAACACTCATCCCTGTATTGGATCAGTGATATATAAAGTGGAACACAAGTCCAAAGCCTCCAGCTGGGGCAGGGCGGTGGGGGGACAACGACTATAGAAATAACGGTTATGAGGTTTTGCCTAGAAGAACTGCTGAGGCCAGAAATCCTCTGTGACCCAATATTCTTACTTCACTGCACAAATGCTACAAAGTGTGCAGCTGGAACATTTTCAATAATCTTGCTGCTCTGCAAATACCTGAAGTCTCTGGATCATGTTCTTTCAGCATCACTGGACCACAGGTTATTGAGACCTAAAGTTATTATCTAAAGTTAAGGAGTTATTCAGATGTCTTATGAAGAAGCAGCACTTCAATAATTTTACAAGTTTTACATTTAAAAACAAAAAGAAAACCCACTTTATGTCAGTGTAGAACTTTTAGCTGATAAAACTACTAGAAATGTGGGTTGCAGCTCATCAGCTGTTGGCTAGAAGTTTGCTGAGAACACCTTGAGTTCAGGGTAAATGGACTGTAACGCTCCTCTGAATCAGTGATGTGAAAACTCCTCTATGTGGCATTCCAGCGGAGATGAGCATGTCATAGATGAGATTTGAATTCCCAGTTTAAGTTCTGCTGGACTTTGTCCGGGTGAAGCTTAAGTCAGAAAGGAGCAAGAAGTGCAGGAGGGCTTGGGTTCAGTGAGGTGTTTGGATCCACTGAGTTTTGGCTCTGGTGAGGTGAAAAACATTTCAGCTTTTCTCAAGTAAAGGCAGGGTAGTAAAAAATTGAGGATCCCTGTTTTGGGGAGTAATGCTTTGCAAAGTCATTCAGTTTTCTTGATCAGAATTGTCCCTTTTTTTTTTTTTTTTTTTTTTTTTTTTTTTTATGGCTACTTTGATCTTTAACAACCTGTTGACACTATGGGAGCAGAGTTTAGTGTTAATGACCTGATGGCATTCAGGGTGGAGTAGTTGCACTTATTCTACATAAAACCTTCTGTAGTTCCAAGAGCATAGTTAATACTGGAAACAATCTTTTGATTTTACCTTTCACTTGATATAGTGAATGTATTCCTAGATCCTCACTTGTATTCTAAATGACTGTAAGCTGCATTAATGTGGTATCTAACAGCTGCATTTCAGCAGTGACTGAAGAGGTGGTTCTGTGCTTAATTTTTGAGGTTGCATCTACAATTCAGTGAGGCTCAGAGATACCCGAGTTAGTGCTAAATGTACTAGCTCAGATACCAGAAGCGGTTTAGGTGAAGTCCCAGGTAGCTCCGCATGGGCTGGTTTAACTTCTTTCTCAGTGGGATTAGCTCACAAGCACAAAGTGTCCCACTGCTGAGCTGGGACTCTCCTAGAACCAAAACCGAGCTCTGATACCCACAGGAACTGCTTCTATGCTACACTACGTAAAGCAATACTCCCAGAGGCTTTGGTGTTACATGATAAATACACCACGCGCTTTAACCTCATTGTGGTGTACCATAGAGGGACCTGAATAAGTATTTTGTTTTGGGGTTTTTTTCTGCCAAAGAAAGTCCTACAATCTCAATCACATCATTGATTCAATAAAAGGAAGAAATACCTGATTTGAATTGAGTGGTTAGGTATAGCGCTATTCTGGAGACTATTTCCCACTAAGGAAACAGCTTAAACTATTTTAAGGGATAGTAGCAAATGAATGAAAACCAGGAATTAAATGCTTGTATGCTGTATTTTAGCAGTAAGAGTGATTGCTCTAGTCAGGTTGACCTCTAAGAGAGTTCAGTCTGAGATGATTTAATTGCAAGTAAGAAAACAGTTTCTTCTGCTGAGATTATTTTAAGGAGGATTTTGTTGAGTGGATTTGTTTTATCACATAGTTACTTTAAATTACTATGATTGCTTATTCTTTTTTAAAAATACAAATACTAATTGCTAAATTAAAGCCTCCATTGTTCGTCAAGTAGAGAATTTGGCACCACTGAACCACATCTGGATTTGAAAATGCATTTTGTAAGGGTATTGCAGTATAGTTGTATATGCTTATTTGTTATTGAAAGCAAGTGTTGTCTACAGAAAGCTGTATTTTGCTGTTTATCTTTATAAAACAAAGTAGAGATCTGTACAAAAGGAAGTCACAGATGATGCATTAGTACAAGGATATTGAAAAAGCTGAACGTAGTTGCACAGAACTGCCGAATGTCTCTGGTTGTTTTTTCAGAGCAGAGGGCAGCAGCAAGATCCAAGCCCGAATAGAACAGCAGTCTGCCCGAGCATCACAGCCTCCTTCGCAGTTCAGAGCCCCAACCAAGCCAGCAGTTGGACCTAAAACTTCTCCTTTGAAAGATAATCCTTCGCCTGAGCCTCAGCTGGATGACATTAAGAGAGGTAAAGAAGGGTTTGTAGTTTCCTGAGTTTTGGTTGGTTTTGTCTTTCTTCTTTATAATAAAACCTATGACTGTGCAATTTATAAAACTGTTAGAATGTTCAGGGATTAAAAGATGGTACTTGACAGCTGGTTTGTCATCTTTATATCTCATTTTAAGGCATCTTAGTGAATTATTTATTGTCCTCTGCCAGCATAGATATTTATACTGCAATCTTCTCTGGCATGAGAGAACTTCCTCTTTCTGGATAATTTTCTCTCTGACAAAATAAGCCTGAATTCAGAAACCTGTAGCTGAGTGCTAGTCAAGTTGAATGGGTGTCTTAGGCAACGACAACAACAACAACAAAAGCTGATGGTCCAAGATCTAGTTATGCAACCAAGGAACTTGGACGAAAGTTATTCCTGCACTGAGTAAGGTTGGAGCCATTTGCCAGTGGGATGGAAAGGCTGGGTGGCTGTGTTCCCACCACAAGACCTGGAGCTTGTGCTGTGCCAAGTACTGCTAGTAGGGAAGGGATGAGAGAGTGAACAACCCTGCAGCTTCCCCTTTACCACAACCACTCCTCTGCAGCTTTGATCACGTCTGCCACATAGTTGCTATACTTCTTTTAAAGTACTTTGAAGGGATGACTGGCTCAACTCAGTCTCCTGATCAAGCAACACTTTGTCTCAATGTTTTGCTATGGGCAGGATGTACTTTCTTTGCCCATATCCTTCCTCGGTGTGGTATCTGGTTTTGCTGTGGATAAGACAGTCAGAATGAGGAAGGCTTTAAATTGAAATTTTTATTTGGTTCTCTTGACACCAGATGCAATTATTTTATTTTAAGATTCTTTTTTCTGTCTAGGTTTTTTTTTCTTTCCCTTTTTTTCTCTGTCCCATATAGCTATTTTTGCCTGTAGACTTAGCCTATGTTAATTGCCCAGACTGTGTTAATTACTTAGCAGGGTATTTTTTCAGTTCACAGTAATCACTAGGTGACATTTTTACTGCTAAGCTATCTGTGTGTTTGCATAGGTGCTGACTGGTCTCACTCTTTCGCAGCAGTAGTATTTTCAATACCTGGACGCTGGTCAGCAGACAGAATCAACGTCTGAGAGTCTGTTAGCTACAGTTCCCTTAGCTGCATTGCCATTTTTATTTTCTGTGTAATAGGTAAGGAGAAAGATAACAGGTGATATATCAATTTAAAAATTGAATCAGTTGTGAATTGTAAATGTCTTTTCCTGTAGTGTGTAATAAGTTATTTAACCATTGGGGCACTCTTTTGTAACATACAGCAATTTGTAAAGGTCATGTTTTAGTAAAAGAATTACATTTGTCTGATGTGACATCTGTTCTACAAAGACCATTTTCTAGTGGTCTAGAATATAAGTCACATTGTTTAGAACTGTCCTAGTAATTTTTTTGCTACATTATCTTCTTTTATTGGAAAGTACCTCCAAATAAATAACCTGTAGAGTTTGGTTTCCAAAATCAAGCAAAAGAACAACCGACTAGTACTAAAAATAGGACTTCAAGTTGGCGTTTTATAGGGAGAATTGTTCAAGGCCCAAAAAGAGCACAAATATGTGGGCAGGTGGTTTTTTCCTTACAGTATATGCTCTTTATAACTTTTTTCCAGCATTGATTATCTAGAGTGTCAGCATTACTAAACCATTTATATCATAAGAACCTACTTAACTGTAAAAGCTGTGAAATAGTCTCCAGTCCTGTTATCTCCCATAAGTGTGTCTTTAAGAACAAAGACTTGTAAGTTCTGAAGAGACTGTGTTCTTTCTATTCAAGCAGTAGTTTTCCTTTTGAGTGAAGTACCTCCTTTGTACGAAAGAAAGATAAATGTAAAGCTGAAATTCTGTGTTTTTTCTTTGATGGCCACAGCACAGAACTCATAAACCCCAAAGGAGGTGGTCGAAAGGACCTCTGGCACTAAGACACTCTCTTGCTCCCAGTATGCCCTACTTAAGGGTGTGTTAAGACACACAGCCCTCGTGATGTTTAACAATAGTTTTAAGGTAACCTCAGTGCAGGTTTCTGCTTTCCCCCGGTACCCTCAGCTGTGCATTCCCATAGCTCCCCTTCTAGAAGAGCTGGGAAACGAACTTTCAGGTAGGTCAGTCCTCTGTCCCATTACACAGATGTCCAAATGACAATGCACTGAGCATGTGGGAGTTGAACCGGTCCTTTCCTTCATGCAGAGAGGCCTTTGGGAGGCTGTATCTAGGGTCCTGCACCAGAGGAATCTTTTTCCCTGAAAGCTTTTAGATTGCCCCCGTGCTTGAAGGCAGCAAAAGAGAGGGTAAGAGGTTGTTCTTTTGAATACTTGGCTGCATTTGATAACATTTCATTAAGCAGTGAACATTTGCACACATACACCACAATACAGCCATTAATGTGCATGAAATAATCAGCAGTTATCAGACATATTTGACCACAACAGAAATGTTTTCAATAACATTGACATAATTACAGCATGCCGTACTTGGAAAAAAAAAAAACACAGAAACGTATTTCTGGTTTGGAGACAGTAAATTCAGTGCTTAAAAATCTGAGCAGATCTTGTTTACTTAAAATGCAGCTGTAGTGTGTAAGGATTATGCCATAGCACTGTGTTTGTCTCTCAAGAACACCTCAATCAAATTTTTAGCACTTCAGTGTAAAATACTGCCTCTTCTAGCTGCCATCTCTGCGTGCTCAAACTGTCAGTATCAAGTTGATTTCTCTCCACCTTGCATACCATTATTAACCAGTAAGCATTCTGCTGTAGGCATACACCCTTATGCTCCCTAAAACTGATTGAGTTTATTTCCAAAAGTCCTTGGTGTACTTGCAGCCCAATGTTAGAGCTTTAGTTAAAATTTTTTCATAGCCTGTTGGAATTGAGAGAAGAAGAAAGAACCCTTAGACATGATTATGGAAAGAAATGAGAGCATTTGATACTGAATATATACAGGAGACAGTCCTCGTAAGAAAGGCTGTTCTGTTTTTATAATGATTTCTGACCTTGAATTTTTTCTTACTCTAAAAACTGCGTTGACTGCCAGTGTAAAACAGTAAGCCATTTTGTTTCCTTGAAAGAAAGCCTACCGTTGTAACATGAAATGTTGCAAAAGTTGAGGTTCCCCTAGTAATGCCAGCCTTTTCAGATGATGTAGACTCAGTTAAGGCAAGTGTTCAAAACTAAACTGTATGGAAAGCTTTTTTAAAAGTAACTGCTCCGTTTCCTAGCTCTTATCATTTTTTAAACCTTAAAGGTGCATCAACATGAGGTGTTTGATCTTAAAAGCGCAAAAAAATCTAGGAAAGCTCTGACTCTTTCGTTGTTTAGTTTAGCATATGTGTACATGTATACACACACAACTATTTTAATTGGAGGCACCGCAAGGAAATGTTTAGTCAAGTCTTCAGTACCTATAACTGCACTAAATATAACAGGCACATAGGAAAATGCAAAATCAGACAATTTTAAAGCAGATGTGGTTTTCCTACAAGGCTTTGGTGTCATCATTGGCTTATCTACCATCTTTGACAGTGTGACACAAGAGGGTTTTGAATAGACTTCCTTAGTGGTCCTGCTGGAGTTCTGCCTGACAGACCTTTAGCAATGCAGCACCCACTGTATCATTAGTGAAAACAATTACTTTTTTCTCAGCTGCATGGATGAGATTTTTAGAATTCTGGGCTTACAGCTGACAGCCTGTGAGGCAAAAGTTGACTAGAAGATGAGCTCAGACCAAGTTTCCACCAATGACCAGTGTCACTGATAACACCCTTAACTTCCCAGTCTTTGAAGCTTGTGGCATTGGCGCTGTTTTGCTTTTCCTGCCTGTATTCAGCATAGTGGGCCTTACCACTCCTTCCAACGCATTCTCCCTTTCCCTCCTCATAACCAAACTTCTTTTATGGGCTCTTAGCTTTCTGCTTCCCCAGCAGAAAACCCTCACTTTTCAAACTGACATTGATCTCTAATTCTGTTTAAAATTAGCCAGGCTAATTCCTTTCCCATTCATCAGGCTGCATCACTTCCTTTAGTTATCTAGTTGCCTACTGTATTGAGTTCAAACTTCTTGTTTTGATTTTTTTTCCTAGTTCTTGGAAGTGCATTTCTTGTTGCATCTTTTCCCTTTCACCACCAGTGCCTTTTAGATTGCTTCACCTTCTTCATGCTATTTTATATGCTGCTTTCTGGGCTGCTGTGTTCTTCTCGACCTGTGTGCTAACACTCCTCCACTTCAGCTACAGACTCTCTAGCTCTGTAAGCATACGTGTGTAATTCTGGGACATGTGTCCTTTATTAGACTTGCTTGTTGAATCTTTTTGCAATATGGACTGTGGTCTGTAGGTGATTGTGCTTGCTGCAATCCAGGATACTCTAACAATGTATCATCACTATAACTTACAGCTAACAACTCCATCACTAGAAATATGTGGACATCTTACATTATTAAACTAGAGGAAAAAAAATCAAATCTGGGCATTTTAAAGGGAAAGAACCCTTATTCCTGTTTACCTTTCCTTTAGCTTTCCCCTGTGAATTTCTTAGCCTTGAACACAGGGAAAATTTACAATTTGAAATCCTTGATATGGGTAGACTGAGAACAGTGACTTATAAGTGCTCATTTGTCTGTGTATCAGACTCCAGGCATGAAATGGATTTTTAAAGCCTGCAAGACTGTGTTGGGAGGGAATAAGGGAGAAAGACATTACAGTACAAAGTAGTATCTTCTGTTGGCCTAAACATATATTCTTCCTCCCTCTTCCAATGGTCTCTTATGCTGTCTTCAAGGTGAAAGAGTAAGTTTTACCTGGCATACTGATAAAGTACAGAGAACACAGGCAGTCTAGTCAGGGATTTAGATTTAGGAAGTAAGCTGGAGGAACACCACCACTATACTTAAATACTCAGCTGGAGTTAGTCATGTAGTTGTTCCCTTTCAAAACGCCTTCCTTGCCTCTGATTCAATATAACTATAGCATCTGAAACTGAGCTTTGAACTTTGAAACTGAAAAATAGCAGTTTTAAAACTGGCAAAAGAAAACTTAATTTCTCAAACCAATACATGCTGAGCTAGAGGAACTCTCTCCAGCAAATAATGTGGAGGCTGAAAACTTAGCTGTTACTCTATGGTGTTAGGCAGCCCAAAGAAAATGGGTCTTATTGAAAAAGGGGAGAGTTCCAGTTGCTCAGACTTAATCCTGCAGGGGCTGAAGATGCATTAAAGTTGTGCCGTTTTTACATAAAGGAAAGACTCCTTTTACACCATCTGGCTATGCCATAGGTAAGAAGGATGTCCCCAGCTGAGCAGCTGGGGTTCATCTCACTCTGACACACATCTGACCTAAGGTGAATTACTCCTGGCATCAGTTCTCCATTTGTCACGTAGAGATGGTAATACCTCATCTCTCTCTTCTTTCATTCTTGTCCCTTTAGCCTGTGACTTCTCCAGGGCAAGCACTGAGTTCTAACCCTGGGGATATAGAACCGCTAGCACAACAAAAGCCTAAATTTTGAGGGTTTCATATTCTATGCTTAACATACGTGTGAGTATACTTCTCTTGTGGAAACCTGCCTTGGTAAACCAAGTCATTAGATACTTGACTTTGTGGGTGGATACAAAAGAATTGTCCTTTAATAGTGTTTAGGCCACTTATAATTATGACAAGTTTAACACTATGGTATGATTTGGGGTGACTTACCTTAATAGCTGTTTAGTAACCAATCATTCAGCCAACCGTAGCTGTTGCTGATGCAGCTGTTATGGTGCTGTCATGGTATTCCAGTGTTTCTTTGCACTGGAAACCCTGAAGTAGGGTGTGTTTGACCTGAACAGCTTCCCAGTTTCGGAGTAGGCTCTGCATTTGCCTGGCTACTTGTAAGCAGATTAAAGTATTGTTACCACTCCCCAGTATGTGAATATTCTAATCTATTCTCATCTGCAAAATTATCTGATGTCATCCATCTGCTTCTGAAGTTTGTTTAAAATGAGTTGTGTGACTTTGCACTGGAGCAGTTTCATACATTATCTGAAGTCAAGGCAGTTTCTGTTGTGATCATGTGCCTATGTCCCCCTGTCTCAGGTCCCCTTTTTGTGTTTTCCAAAAACCTAAATGTCACTGACATCTAACAATTTAGATTCCTCCATATTAAGATGCTTTTAAAAAAAGGGCTGGCTGTTGGCCTGTAAAACTCAATCAGGAAATGTCCTTACTTTGTATGTAGAGCATATAACCCGTTGAAAATACTGAAGCAGGAAGTGCTTTCAGGACTGTAAAGTACATAAATAGTAATAGTGGAAGTGAAGGTTTTATGATACTCACCCATGCTGTCGCTTCTTTAAATTGAGCTACAACAACTAAGTAAAAAAGTTTTCAGAATTTTTTGTTTTTCCTTTCTGTGTCTCTAATGTGAGACATTTTGATGTGATAAATTATACTTGACAAAACTGTTGCATTTTCACGTTCTTTTCCAAAATTCCATGGGGCCCTGTTTATGATTTCAACCAGAGGAATGTCCTTTTATTTCAGAGCTGAGAGCAGAGGTTGAAATTATTGAGCAGATGAGCAGCAGCAGTGGAAGCAGCTCATCGGATTCAGAGAGCTCATCTGGGAGTGAAGATGAAAGCTCCAGCAGTGAGGGGGAAGAGCCAGCACATGTGTCCCCTTCCCAGCCACCGCACCAGCAGTATAACAACAGGAATGCTATTGCTAATGGCACCAGCAGGCCACAAGGAAGCAATCAGCTCATGAATACGCTTCGTAAGTAAAAGGCTTGTGTCTTATCGCTATGGGAAGCTGCTTGAGACCATTCATTTTCTTAGCATGTTAGGCTAACTCCATGAAGTGCAGTTTGCCAAATAGTAATCCCAGGGAGTTGCTCTGGCTGAAATATGTGGGCAGGTTTTTTGAACAGAGGGCCAAGACCTGTCTGAAGGTGTGGAGAATGCTTCAGTTTGGTCTAGAACCTGTGGGCATCAATACCATGGCCCCCCTTTACCATGCTGAGCCTTGATTCAGGCCTCCAGGTGGAATGAGCGGATAGAAAAGCATTGATGTGGGAGGATCTGGTGCTCCAGAGGATGGGAATTCTTTTAATGTGAAAACATAGGTCGGACATAAATAGTGGGGTTGTCATGTGTGTTAGTTAAAGGTCTGTGAAGAATTGTGAATGGCCTGTGGTCATAAAAGCACACTCTTTGTGGTCTTCGTTAATAGCTATATGCTTTGTCAGAATATTTACTCTATACTGTGTTGGTCTCAGCTCCATTTTCACAAATACCACATTTTGAAGGGAAATTTAAAGTACCATGTATTTGACTAAAATATTACAGCTATGGCGTTTGCAAGCATTGAGTCAGTACAAACTCACTCCACCCTTTAAAAAGTGTAAAAATGTCTTTAAAACATCATTTTGTCCCATGAGACTCTCTCTGGGGAGCTGGTGTACATCTGTGTTGCTCTTTCCTTATGCTGGATCAGGTATATTGTAACTCAGGGGAGTTAAAATATTGCATTTCCAAGAAACCAGAACTTAGTTATCATAAATTGTTCTTAATTCCTCCTGAGGCATGTTTGCGTACATCTCTTGGCACCCACACATAGGCAACTGGTGGAGTTTAAATACAGATAAATGTGGAGTTTCCAGCTTCGAGGAAAAAAATACATTATACAGACAATACTGAAAAGGCATGCTGGAAAACTGGAGAGGCCCTTCAGTCTTCCTGTCAGTAATGAATGTCTAAGTGAAATCCAAAGTTCATCAAAGTCAGTAGGACTCTTTCCATTTCCCTGTTTCTGGTCGTGAGGTGCTTGTTCCCTGCCTCTCCGAGGCCATGACAAACAATACTGCGTAGGTCACACACTTCACAAGAAGCCTCTGATTCCAGGAGAATTTGGGAACTGGCAGGGTAGCTCCTATTTTCAGGCAATGCCTTTTGCCTTTGGATTTAAAATCCTTTTGCCAACAATTAATATGTCCTTGAGTATTCAAGTCACTGGTGACCCTCTACATGAGGAGAATCGCCCCTAACCCAAGTTCTTGTTTCATAAAAGGGGAGAGGAGGTGAAGAAATCCGGGACATAGCCGTGGCATAGCTGCTCTGCAGCTGTTTGGGGCAGGGCCATAGGACAATGCTGGAAGAGCTAGGTTCAGTTACCAGAACGCAAGCATGATTCTTGCCCCCTTTGATCCCCTCCACCTCACCAAATCACAAGGGCTCTGCCAAACAGGGTCTGAGACCGTAGGTTTGATCCATATCCTGGCTGCCTTTTGTCTGATCTCTCTGCACTTCGGAGGGGGGCTTTCACTGTCACAGCGTGTGTCAGCATAGTTCAGCCGGTTGCAATGGCTTTAACATTCCTTTTGGTTTAGTGGCATGCGGAGGCCTTGCCTTGGCTACCCAAATGGCCTTAAAACAAAAAAAAAACCCACCTATTTTAAAGGGCCGAGAAAGCCAGGGAATTCCCCAGTGCCTTGTCCCAGAGCTATACACGGGAGCTTGGCTGGGTGGGGGCTGTGGAATGCCTTCTGCAGCTGCTAGCGTGAGGAGTGCTGTTCTCCCACCAGGGAGCAGCTCTGGTGGCTGTGGAGCCAAGGGCGCTCAGTTTGGCCTGGATCTGAACGTGTATTAGCCCCATGCAGCTCTTAATGTTCTCGGGCATGGGGAGCAGTTCCATTAAGTGACGGATGATGTTTGCATTCATTTCTCGTGTTATTCTTATTGAAATCTTCCAGTGTAAATGTGACTGTTCTTTGGTTTGATTGCCATGAAATGTGAATTAACGCCTACCCACTTGTTGTGTTTTGTTGTTTTTTGTTTTCCACAGGAAATGACTTGCAGTTGAGCGAGTCTGGGAGCGACAGTGATGACTAGAGGCTGAGCTTTTGCTGCTTCTGTTACATATACATGAAGAACTAATTTACCTTGAAGTGATCCCATTGCTTAGGAAGAGGAGCTGGCGCAGAGATAGTTCCATGTGTGGAATTTTAAAAGAAGAAATGCATAGCCCTACAAAATAGGAGATGTAGAGGGCTGTTTTACTTTGTGAATTAAGTGTACATTTTGTGTATATTCTTATTCTTTTAAAGCTTTAAATAGATATGTACAGTGGGTAAGCCAATATATGTTCCTATGTTCCTGTCTGTCATCTGGAAGTTTAACATGTAACTTTATGATGTCATCTAAAAACTTCTTGTTTGTAGAAGATACTCAGCCCATCATGACTTATGGGGGGGACTCTGCTGCTCTTGTATATAGGATAAGTGTGAGCCAACAATGAGTTTAAAAGAACACGCAGGAGCTAGTGTGTGCACTGAAGCGGGACCGTCATAAATTAAGTTTCAGAGCTAAGTTGATTTCTTTGGTTTGGGACTTTTCTAATATCTTTCTATTGCTATTTATGGTTGATTTAATGGACTTACTTTTAAACAGTTGGGAAAGAGAAATCATAAAACCATGTTCGTCACAAACCTTGCTGCACCAGTGCCTTACAAGCAGGTTTTTTAAACAGAGCTTCAGTTCCTGCCACCTTTCCCATAGGGAGCAATACTGAAAACCCCTTCACGTTGCTTTTGCAAACAAGAGCTGTATTTCACGTGCAGCCAACTGTTCTCTGAAGGTAGTTACCCTAGCAAGAGAAGGTAAGGCGTATACATCAGTCACCTGAACGCATCCAAATGAGAACCGGATCAGCATTTTCTTGTGCAACTGAAGTGTCTCATTTAACTCAGCCGTTCAGACCTAGTCTTCAGAAATATTTAGGAGCCCGATCAAGTACAAGACACAAATTGGGTTTCCTGAAATTGTAAGATCAGAGCCTTGTTTGCAGTTTCCTAGAGAACATGTAAAGAAGAGATGACTAAACAATTGTGAAACAGCAGAAGTCTCTCTCCCACCACAGTTGTCCAGGTAGACTTTAGTTCATACTGTTTGCTGGACGGGATCTCTCTGCTTGGCAGGATTATACAGAACATGAAATATTTGCCTAGGGTGAAATTCACCCCTGTTTAAGTGGGTTTAAAGGGTGCTTAGTTGGATTATCATTAACTTTTTTTTTCTCGCATGGAAAATGAGTGCCACAGGCAGCCTCTTATAGCTTGAACAACAGGCTGACTTTTTAAAACCAACATTCAGCCGGCATAGGACAAGTGGCGCTGTACTTGTGGTGTAATCCAGGGGAGTGGAAAGCTGACTTGGATGCCTCTCCATTCTTAAGTGTCTGCTTTGCATCACTTTTGTCTGTCAGTTTGTGGTTTAACTCCTGTTTGTTTACTGAGAACTTTCCTTTTTTTTTTTTTTTTTTTTAAGGTGTTGAAGAGCAAGGGGACATTTGAAAGGAGATTTTATTAAATGGTTTCTTTTTTTGCATTAGATAGATATTTAGGCATATTTTTGGATTATTGTACATACATTTAAAAATACTTGGTTTTTTTAAAGTGTTTTATGATGTGGGTACATATTTATCAGACAATTATGAAATATACTTGATGTAAAGCCACAATTGCTCTCCTTTTTTTCCACTTTTTTACAGCAGAAGTACTCTGTTCTAACAAGCTTGTACCAATTTGGGATTTTACACTCTGGTGCAGGAGATCTGCATGGTAGTTGGCAGTCTAATTAATGCTAATACTGCTCCTGACTTTTCCCAGCTTAAGATTTGAATAAGCAGGGAGACATTTCTCTGATGCCATTTCCCCGTTACTGGAGCTTATTCCTGAGTTCTGTTGACGTTATTTGTGCTTAAATGGAAAAGCAGCAGTGCAGCATTTTCGTTGCTTATCAGTCACTCGCTGGTCATGCATTCTAAAATACAGGACATGTCATAGGAAGTTTACTAATTATGTGTAAGTAAAATACATGAAACTTAAGAGGATAAGGCAGCACCAGGCTACATCATTGATTTGAATCGCCAATTTAATTATGATTTAGATCAGCAAGTGGGAAAGCTTCATTCAGATAATCAATTTTTGCCTTGTTTTGTATTTGTACTCTAGGTCACATTTCCCTGCTATCCCTCCATAAAATGTTTCCTCCTCACTCTGTTGGTAACAAAATTGACATTTCTTCACGCAATTGCATACAGCTTTTAAACTACATTTGGCCATCTGTCGCGCACCCTGGAGAAGTGTCATATCAAGGGTGGCCAGCCTGTTGTTCCTGAGCTGTTCTGCTGCACATCCCACACCCAGACTACAGCATCTGGCTGTCCACGGGGCCGGCAAGCAACGCCGTGTCCCGCAGCCCGCTCATGGGTGCAAGCAGGACAGTCCCTGCACCTGTGTGACCAGCCCGTCCCCTCCCTGCCACTGTGTCCCGAGCGGCTCCTGGCACCTCCTGCCAGAGCAGCTCTCTGGGATCTCCACCTTTCCCACAGCTCTCACAGGTACGCGGCACGTGCTTTCGTGAAGGTGAACCGTGCGGAGGCTTCAGTAGGGAACTCGTAAGAGCAGAAAGGGTGGCTGCCGGTTTTGTTCCTTTTTCTAAATACGCATGAGTGTGTTTTAAAGCCATTGCCAGCCTCACGTTTTGATTGGGGCTTTTAAAATTTTATGTTTCATATGTTCAGAAATGGGAAAAGTTGTCTATCTGCTCCTATTAGATGGCTGTTCATTTCTTCGTGATTTGCGGCAAGTTTTATTCAGATGGAAACTGGATTAGTTAGTTCCAACAGTTAGTTGGAATTCTTTTAATTAGTTGGCAATATCTTTAACATGCTGGAGAAATAAATTGACTAAAATATGTTTTGATTAAACCTGGTAATGAAACAAAGTATTCCTGATTATTCCTGTCTGGTTCTAATCCCGCAGGATGTTAGCACTAGCAGATCTTACCACCTTACCGCTACTTTTTCCACATAAAGTAGGAACATCTTTCATATGCCAATTATTAGTTCAAATGTGAATTAATGCTGCATATGGAATGCAGTTATCTGAATGACTTGAAACTAAGTAAATATTTCTTTGCATTCATGGCAAAGCTGCCTGCTGGCTACGGCAAGGTTAGCAGTCCAGGACAGCTTTGGTTTCTGGTGGGTTCTTCTGTTCAGTGGCTGCATCCATTTCGGTGGTTTGACTTTGCCTAAAACCTTAGCAGCAAACATGGGCTGCTGATGGCTTTTCCCATAATCAGAATTGCTCTAGGAGTAATAGTCAGTAGTCAATAATGATTTAAATTGATTCAATTAGCTTGTCATTTTAAAGTGTTTTATGATGTGGGTACATATTTATTTTTTAGGAAAAAAAAAAGAGAACAAAAAAAAAAGCTTCAGGTTGCTCAGAGCCCCGTCCAACCTGGCCTTGAACGTTTCCAGGGATGGGGCCTCCACCACCTCTCTGGGCAACCCATTCCAGTGTTTCACCACCCTCATTGTAAAGAATTTCTTCCTTATATCCAGTCTAAACCTACCCTGGTTTAGTTTAAAACCATTACCCCTTGTCCTGACACAGCTGGCCCTGCTAAAAAGATTTTCCCCATCTTTCCTAAAGGCTCCCTTTAAGTACTGAAAGGCTGCAATCAGGTCTCCCCGCAGCCTTCTCTTCTCCAGGCTGAACAAGCCCAACTCTCTCAGCCTGTCCT